GACGACGCGGAGGCGGAGAGGGAGCCGCCCGGTCCGCCCAGCCCCGTGAGTGACCCCCAGCCCGGCCCTGCTCGCGGCGCGGACGCCCGCAGGCTTCCGCCCGTCTGGCCGGGGCCGGTCGCTTGCCCGGGGCTGCCTCCATTTTCTCGGATCTCCACAGCCCAGAACGCGGGAGCGGCCGCGCCGGCCTGCCAGCTTCACCTCCCTCGCCCGCGGGCCCCTCGGCCCTGTCGGTCCCCTCATGCAGCCTCCCCATCGCCGGCTCGGGGCGCCCCGGGGCCTGCAGGCCGGGGCTCCCTGCTGCCCCTCTCCGCGGCTCTCCCGCTGGCCTGGGGCTTGGGGGCGTCCCCGGCCAGAGGCGGGCGAGCGAGCCGGGCCAACTGTCACTCCCACCGCACCCGGGGCCCGTCCCCGGTAAACTTCCTGTTACGAGGAGGCTGATATCGTCTTTGTAGTCATCCTTGCAGGAAAATGCCTAACTGATTTCTGGTTAGGAATTGTGCGGTCGGAGCGTTCCCGAGTTCAGTTGGACCAGCCGGGCGCCGACTGCGTGCAAGGCGCAGTGCTCTGCCCGCGCCGGAGGGATTCAAAGGTGAACGGGCCCCGCAGTCCCCTCCCCCGAGGAGTTGACGCTCTGGTGTGTAGGCGATAAGACGGGTACACAAAAAACCACGATACCAGGAAGGAGGTGATAAGTCCTGTGAAACAACTACGGGGTGCTAGAAGGGCATCCAGGGAACAGCGGACCGGTCGATCACTTCCGCCCTGCAGAAATCTGGAGGGCTTCCTGGGCGAGGCGGTGCCAAGCAGGGTCTTGAGGCCCGAAGGGTTTTAGGAGGGTTGCAGAAGGGACCGTAGGTGGAAGGGCAGCAAAGCTAGAGGACAAAGGTAAAAAGGACTACTCTAAAAATAGTGGATAATGCAGTTTGTTGCCTACGGCCGTGAGAGGTGGGGGGAGGGGGGACTAGAGAGGTATTTTGGGGCCCGATCCTTGCGTGCTGTAGAGGAGCCGTGTGAGTGGCATTCTAAGGGAAACTTAGAGCTCGTTTCTCAGTGACTCATGAGCCCGGAAATGTAGGCTAGGGGATGTTAAAGGCGCTCCTGCGAAAAAAAGGGAGCGAGGGAGGCCCAGGCAGGAGTTGACATTCTGTGCCTTGAGTGTAATGCAGTTTGAGATCGATTTTGACAGTTTCCCGGATATTCAAGGAACTCTTTGTCCAGGCTAAGCAAAGTACCTTTTGCAAAAAGCTTCAGGCCCTTAAAGCAGAATGGAAAGATGTGTGTGAAATTAAGCTCATCTGCACATAGGGCGTTTCTGTTAGTGTGCTCACTAAAACGCATCAAAACTCTTTACACTGTGTGTTGGGCGTGTAGATTTTGGACTTACTGCGCCGAATGTAAATTGCTTCTTTGATATGGCAATTGTGTAAAGTAATCTAAATTTATGATTTTTAAAAAGTCAGGTTGTTACTAATATTCTGGGATAGAAATTTGGACATAGAACTTTTTGGTAGATAGGTTAGATTTACTAGTTTTTCTTACGAAAAGCTTCATGTGAGAGCCAGAGTGAAAGTTTGTAGCTTCGTTTTGTACAGTTTTTTCGAATTACTCAGCAGATAATTTAGCAGCTGTATTTTAAGCCCAGATTATATGATCTATGGAGCCATCTTAGAACCTATGTTGGTTTCGTAAGCACTTACTTGCTGTTTGCTTACATGACAAGAGGATGCCAACTTTTTTTTTAGTTGGAGAAAAAGCTTTCTAATTATCAGAGTAATACATAATCTTTGTAAAGAGCTTGAGAATGCCGGAGGTACTGGAAAATAAAGCAAGAATTACCTTAATCATTCTTAAGTAATTTGACCACCTCAGTTTGGTTACTGTTAACATTGTTTGCATATTTCCAGTCTTTTTCTGTGTTGTTTTTTTTTTTTTACATAATAAAATATACTGCACACGCACACACATCTTTTTTAACTTCTTTTATTGTGCTTTTTTGGGTCATTAAATATTTTCACATAAAAATATTTTTACCTAAGCAAGGGAAGGCTTAAATATATAATATATATTTTAATGACAAGGTAGCATTATTTATCACAGATGAAATGCAGTAGTTATGCTTGATAACTGCTACTGTGTGCAGAACTTTTTCTAAAGGCTTCTTGTTTGAAGTGTATTTCTCTCTTCTCCATACGATTTGAATCCTATGGCTTGTCGAATAAAGAAAGCTTTTATTACTTAGTGGGATGCATGTTGTCATCGGATATGGTGTAGCGGACACAGATTGCTGGTATATGAGTGGATGTACTTTAAAAAGGAGCACTGTAGAAAGATTACTTTCAAAGCTGGTATATTATCTCCCATATGCTGTGATGTAGCTCCCCACCCTGCCATAAAATTCTTTACACTAGGACTATCCGTATAGGTTAACTTCTTTCTGACCTTGACATCACAAAGATTTAGACTAGATGTGTTTAGTTTTTCTATTGGTATTTCTTTTAATAAAATAAAACATAGGATTTGTGGTGAAATAATTGGTACTATAACAAAAGGAGCTTTTTGTTTCTTGATTTCGGGGTAGGTTGCTTTAATTCATTAGCATTTCATACTGCAGGTTCTTGTACTAAATCAGCCCCCCCCCTTTACGTTCTAAAATGTATTAATAAGGTCTCTGCTTCTGTTT